CAGATTATGCCTGCCAGTCCCAGAGCCACATTATAGGTCCAGGCCCAATTTAGTTTGCTTGAAGGGTTATAGCCTGTGGCATTTCTGACTCCCCAAAGGTTGTTTTAATTTAGCTAAAATGATGCTAAAGCTTGCATTTTACCCTCCAAGAGGCACATCTGTAATAATCACAGGTGTGAGCAGCACACACAGTGCAGCAGCAATCCTGGTGCCCTCTGAAATCTACTGTACAGTAAAGTACACAGAGGAAAATGTTATCCTGTGGATTCATTATGTGATTCCCTCAGTTTCCAGTAAGGCCAATAGAAATGGAAGGTTATCTCTAGTGTATAAAAGTCGCTCATTTTTGACCTTCCAGCACTTGAATTTAAGGAGATTAGTTTAATTTCAAAACATGTGGTGTTATGAAGGAGTCAGTATTCCCTTTGTAAATCATGTCCCACTCGTGGAACAAGAACGTCTTTTTGGGTCTCAAGCATGCAGCCAAAGTTCAGAATCTCCATTCACTCTCCTGTTTGGTACACCGTGGTATGTAGGAGCCATGCTGGACTACACAGTCTCAAGTAATAGAATGAGACAGATGTATACATCTCTTTGCAATGATGAAAGGGATGTTCTAGTACTATAGTGGTGTATGAAGTCATATAGGTAACCTGAAAAGAAGATGTTAAATGTTTAGAGGAAGGCCTTGCTTGCTTAATCCTCTGTTCTATGCCTGGCAATGCTGGTAACTGTAGCTGTACAATAATCTCCACTGTGAAACAGATTTTATTTCCAACAAAATGTTTGGTGAACTGCAGGTAATTGTCACCAAGTTGGTGTGAGGAAGAGAACTACTTCCTTTAGACACTCAGCTCAACTCTAAGTAACTCCATAGTGATTTATTCTGTTCAGGCTCCTTCCCTGAATATAGTACCAAAAGAACTCAACCCTAAACAGTAGAAACCAGGTATTTTGAGATACCTAAGGCAATGAAAACCATCCTAACAACTGACTGAATGCAAACACAACACCTGGAGTGCTCACCTGGAAATGAGATTGGGTGCAATAATATGGAGACTGAGTGGCTGCCCCAGCTCATGTGCTAGGGATGCAATGAGAGGAAGAGGAGACGCAGTTGGACGCGTCAGGGAAGATAAAGCACTCACTGCTCTGCCTAAGTCTTGGCAGTATCACAGTTGCAGAGCTCAGTGAAGCATGGTCCCTACATGCTGTTGAGGTAGGAGTGTAGAGAGACAAGTGACCTCTGTGACACCATGGAATGGTATAGGAGGCACTTAAAAAGGTATCACTAATGTCACTGGAAACCAGTGAAGTTCTTCCTTTCAGAGGATGAAAAGAGAGTCTGAAGAGGCACCTCAACCTCTTGCTCATTGCTTTTCACACTGTGTCCAAAGCATCCATGTTGTCTAAAACTCTTGCCTAGGAAAGTTACTTAGAGTGACATAATATTCCCCTTAAAGTCACTTTTATCTCTCTTTCTTCAAAGGAACTGATTCATTAGTGTTGCTGTGGAGTTGTCCTTGATTTTAGTCAAGAGGCAGGCACTCCCCTTGACAGGAGACCTATTATCTTCACTGCTTCTGCTAGATGGACAGTGCATTTCAGAGTCACTTTAATGTCACAGTTGGAAGCTACAAATAAATCTGTGGAGTAGAGCATCTCATAAATACCTTTTCATGGAAGAAAGTGAGAGAAAAGCACCACTAGTGATTCCCAAACTGAAGGGAAATCAACTCTATCAATCTATGCACTAGATTTTTGCAGTATCTTTCTCCCTATTAGGGACCTCCTGTGATTGCAGCAGAATGGTTTGGGCAATAATTAGGAGGCAACCAGAAAATTTGAAAATTCCTGAAAAAAAACTTATAAGAAAAAAAAAGAGGGGAGAAATGATTTAAATATTTAATGATGCCATCTTTTATGTTATATGATATTATAAAACTATGCTATCACAAGCTGTAATAGCATAATAGGATAAAATTGGATAACTGAAGAGACCTGTGCATGAGATTTCCCTATAATGGAGCATACTAATTTGGGTGGGGTTTTTTGGTTGGTTGTTTGTTTTTTGGAGGAAGTAAGTGGAATACATTTTTTTTTGTTAGTTTGTGATAGTCCTATTTCAGTAAAGTGACTGCCATGGGTACTGTAAGTGGTAAGTGTGCTTGGACAACTGGATAATCACAGCTGATGATCTAAAATGTGTTACCCTGCTTTATTCTAATTTTACAGACCGTGTGCCTTTCGTGTGGAGACCATCACTGCATTTATGAAAAGCATTATGGAGGAAGCAAGAATGCAGTTAGGAAATTTTAAACTGAGGGAAAATGAGTATCTCTGCTCTTGTAAATGATGAAAAAAAATGTCTGAAATGAAGTAGATGCTGACATTCAGAAAGAATTGTACCTGCAGCTATTGAATTCCCTATCCATTTTTGGCACATTAGATATATGTAATTTGCTTCCTCTGTATTAGCTCTATCTATATATACACAAACATTCTCTGCATTACCTAATCTTGGAAAGACAAGCAATATGTAATGATCTGATTCATAAACTGCAGAAGTAGTGTTCTCACCATTGATGATGACAATGAATCATTCAGACTGAAATACCGGCTTGCATTACATCTGTTCTGGTTTTACCTTCTGCTGCTTACAGCAGTGAGGGGGAGCTCTGTTTGAAAATGAGAAACTGAGTGGTCTGAAAGACAATATGCTGCAAACAGGGCATTCAGATGGCATTGCCCTTTTTACTGACTTTCACCAAGACTTTGTTTGTTTCAAGTCTGTAAGTACTGTAGAATAGTATTGTAAAATGTAAAAAGGTAGCCTAGCTATATTTCTTCCTCTCAGAATACTTGGTGAGTGACACAGCCTGAGCATTGCAGTCCTAGCCCATTATGGGTGGTTTCCTAGAAACGTGTTGGCCAGGGGGCTCCAAGGAAGTTCTATGAGATCCCACTCCTACTCCCTGTAGCCATGTGGTGAGCAGATCCAAGCAAGCATTTTAGTTTACCAGCTCTGAGTCTTCATTTGCTTTAAATATTTAGTGCAAGCTGATTGGCAGCCCATTGTCTGCGAGAGATGGAGGAATGGAGGAGACTAATTTGGCTGAGATTGTGCAAGTGCAAAATGATGATTATGGGATTTGTGAAGCAATGCTGGCAATTATGCAAGTGCCAGAAGGGAGGAAGCACACTTCCCATTGCCTGTGCAGTGGCAGCTGGCTCCTGAGTCTGTACCTCAGCAAGCATAGTAAAAAGGAAATGGTGTCACCTAGGCTACTGTGGGTGTGCATGCCATCAGCTCCTTTGTGGGTACCTTGAGAACCTTTAACAGGTACTGAGTAGCATGCACCAGATTGCTATGAAGCAGTTCTTCTGGGCCTGTTTCTTGTTGAGATGGGTGCAGGATACATCTGCCTGCTGAGCAGAGCTACTCTCTAGGAGGCCACTGCACCTGTGCCCCAAGCTCTGTGCTGGCAGCCTGCTGGGTTCTCCAGACAGTGGCTTCCATATACAGCTGACATGCTCTGGAAGGCTGAGGACATACCACCATTTTCTGTCTGCTCAAGGGGTTGGGTTTATGCTGAGTGCATCTGGAGATCAGGGTGCATTAAAAAGAGCATGGCCAGCAGATGGAGGGAGGTGATTGTTTCCCTCTACTCTGCCCTGGTGAGGCCACATCCAGAGTGCTGTGTCCATTTCTGGGCTTCCCAGTTCAAGACGGGGAACTTCTAAAGAGTTCAGTGGAAGCCACAATGATGATGAGACCCGAAGCATCTCCTTTATGAGGAAAGGCTGAGAGCCCTGGGGCTGTTCAGCCTTGGAGAAGGCTGCGAAGGGATTTTATCAATGCTTATAAATATACCCAAAGGGTGGGAATTGTTGTGGATGGGGCCAGGCTCTTTTCAGTGGTGCAGTGACAGGCAAAGGAGCACAACGCAAAACATGGGAAGGTCCGTGAGAACATGAGGGAGGTCTTCACTGTGAGGGTGACAGAGCACTGGAACAGGCTGCTGAGAGGTGGTGGAGTCTCCTTCTCTGGGTGTATTCAAGAGCTGCCTGGGCACCCACATTGGTAGCCTGCTGTAGGGAGCTGCCTTAGCAGTGGCGTTGGTCTTGGTGATCCCAGGGGTCCCTTTCAACCCCTGTGGTTCTGTGACCCTGTGCTTTTCCTCTCAGGGCTCTCAAGGCACATGAGTGCACCAACTGAGGGAAAGACTTGCCAAGTAGAAACTGTTAGACTTTGTCCTGATCCAAAAACACATCCTATCAGATATTCGGATGAGCCTTGTGCACCGTGAGATTTGCATTCACTTTCACATGTGCCACAGATCACGACAGAGAGTCTTTGTGGTACCTTTTATCAGATGGGGCTTAATTGCAAGTCTCCAAAAAATCACGAACCAGAAAAGGCGATTGTTCTCCCTTTGACTCCAGGCGCATGTCATAGCACTACAGCTGAAAGCCGATGGCTGGAATGACACCCAGGTGCCGCTAGACGTGGCGCTGCTTGCCGCGACCACGCGTGGAAGCGTGACTTCATTCCTTTCCGCGCGGCACCCCGTCGTTAGACCTGCCCCCGCTTCTCAGCCTTTCAGGTGCGTGCTCGAACCCGCTCCAAGCGCACACGTTCAGGTTCCCCAACAACCGAAATTCACGGCGCTCAGACGACCGCCCCTCACCCTGCCGATCGCCCCCGCTCCGTAGCGCTGCCGGAGCGGCTCCCGGCGGCGAGGGGGGCCCGGCTGGCTAAGCGGAGCAGCGCTGCCGGGTGCCGCCGGTGGCTGCGAGCAGGAGCGAGGGCGGCCGCACCCCGGCCCCGCGGGCCGCCCGCCGCCTCGCCCACGCGCGGGCCGCCTCCCCGCCTCCCGCGGGCACTTCCCCTGCACGGCCGCGGCCAGGGGAAGGCGGCTCCCGCCGGGCCCAGCGCGGCGGCGGATGGCGGGGGGGCCGCGCCCGGCGGGGGCCGGCGGGGGCGCCCGTTGAGCGGCGGCGGCGGAGCGATGCCGGGGGGCCCGGCGCGGCGGGGCGCACCCGCGGGGCCATGAGGGCGGGCTCCGGCCATGGCCCATGGCAGCGCCGCGGTCATGCTGAAGTGCGTGGTGGTGGGGGACGGCGCCGTGGGCAAGACGTGCCTGCTGATGAGCTACGCCAACGACGCCTTCCCCGAGGAGTACGTGCCCACCGTCTTCGACCACTACGCAGGTGAGCGGGACGGGGGGCGGCGGCGCGGAGCCGCTCGGTTCGGCTCGGCTCCGCTCCCCCCTCGCCCGACCTTGCCCCGCCGCGGCTCTCCCCGCCGCGGCCTCACCCGGTTTGTCTCTCCCTCCTCGCAGTCAGCGTCACCGTGGAGGGCAAGCAGTACCTGCTGGGGCTCTACGACACCGCCGGGCAGGTGAGTGAGCGACCCCAGACCCCGGCCGCCTGGCAGCCGGCGCTGTCCGGCGCCGAAGTTGCTCTGGCGGCTGCGCGCCCCGGCGGCATTACTCAGCGGGGCTCCTCGCGTCGCCCGCTGCCGCAGCGGGGACAGACCGAGCGGGGCTGGCTGGGCGGCCGGGAACCGGCTCGGCAGCGGGGAGGCGCGGCACGGCCGGTGGTGGGCTGCTGCAGGACCCTTGTCTGCACTTGGGGCTCATGGAGTTGTTGTTCAGCTTTAGGTTTTTGGCTTTGCTGCCTTTTTTTCTTTCCTTTCTTCTTCTTCTTCTTCTTCTTCTTCTTTTTTTTTTAAGCTATACTAGACAGTCCAAGTGATTCTCTTGAGAAGGTTATTACAGCCCACAGTGGAAGACGCTATGTCAGCATGTGACTGAGGCAGTTTTAATGTTGGATATTCAGAGAGATCTCTATTGTAGCGAGCAGCACAGGGCTCCATTATCGACATCTCTGCTCAGTTATCACAACTTGCAGCCAGCAGCTGCCGGCTGAGCACAGTCTTATGAGTTAAAATACTTTGGGGGTGGCATATCTGAACCAAAACAGCATGTAAAGGGCCTGGCTTTGTGGGCAGGAGGTGCTAAAAAAGTGTGGAGCCTCTACAGAAATGCTGTGTGGTCTTTTGCAAAGTTGTATATTCCCTATACTAAAACTTCTTGCAGCATGAGCTTGTGTTTGGGTCTCACATGACCTCAGACGTGCTTCCCTGTGGTAAGGAACAACGAGGAAGATAATCTCTCTGCACTGGCACACAGTGAAGCCATACTTTGTAACTCAGTAATTCCTGCTCTTATCTGAACAATTGTTCCAATTAGTGTGCCTCTCTAAGTGTGCATGTAGCTGTAAGGGAAGCAGTACTCAGCTATTCTTGAGTGTTTAAGGCCTGAAAGCAGCAACACAATCCATTCAGGGAGAATTCCAGGGAACAGCTTTGCTTCCAGAAAGCCAGTAGCTGGAGGGTGAGTTTTCTACCAACAGACTGACTTCATCGTTGAGAACTCACTGATACAAACACAAACTGGTCCCAGTGATGCAAAATGAGTTCACTTGCTATTTCCACCATAGCTTTGCTTTTTAGTAGTAAATGCTTCACAACCCAGCTGGCTTTAAAATACTGTTCAAGTGTGCTGAGGCAAATAAAGCATCTGCTAACATGCATCCAGTTTCTATAATGAGCACTGGAAAATACAAAAAAAAAAAAAAAAAGCACCTTGCACTCGTGTATGTATGCAGAGCTTATTCGTGGATGCTGTCTCAAACAGCCCATGCTGGCTTGTTGCTAATTACGAGAGCGTGTGTTGTAAGCTCTGTGCAATCTTACCTCAAGTGGCTTTGTGGTGTCCATCTGGGTAGCTGCACGGAGAAACCTTTGGCTTCCTCTAACACTAGTAGTAAGCTGGCCAATTTGCAGCAAACAGCAAGCAAAGGTACTGTAAGTCTAGACTTATAGATTGTTTCAGGGAGACTGCTGTCACAAAGCGATATGCTCTTGGCGAAACTCAGACCTGCAGCAATCATAAAGTCTTTACCATTTTCCTCACCCTAGTTCAGGTTATTGGAGGGGACAGTGGAGCAGTGAACATCTGGGGCTGCCCATGGAAGCCCCATTCCAGCACCCAGAACAACTGTGGAGGTTCTTACAGGAACCCATGTAGAGCCTCCAGCCTGACAATTTTGTTCTTTTTATTCCTTCATCGGAGTTTGCTGATGAGCCATTCTGAGAGAGCCATGGGGTAAAAGAAAGCTTTCTGTGAAGTTTAACAATTGTATGTGTTTAAGAGCAGAAAAGACAGGAGTTGGTAGTTTCTTCTCTGTGTTGAGGAAGCAGCATGCTGCGTCTGGTACATGCCTGCTGATTGTACAGATTTCTGTTCAGCTCAGATTCATTGCAGCTTGAAGTTGGGATTTCTGTGCCAGCAAACATCAGTGTTGTTATTTCTAATCCTGTCACCCCCAAATAGTTTTACTGCAAAACAGTAGCCTGATAGTATCATTTTATCAAAGCTTGGCAGCATGTGATTATAGTGGCATCTGAGCTACTTGCAGCCTTCTGAGTGCATACAGCCCCAGCCCTGGGCAGAGTCCAGATCTCATTTTCTGTGGGAAGAGGAGTGAGAGTGCAGAAGTTTGGGCTGTGACCTGCTCCATATTCCCACAGGAAGCCCATGGCAGAGCAAGGAGCCAAAAGCTGCCAGTGTGCAGCAGGCCCATCAGCCTGAAGTACTGACTTACCAATCTGTGGGTGTTGTTAGCTTGTATGGTTATGTATTTAGCAATGTGTGACAGACTTCTGTTTGGTGGGGGGCTGTGAGCTGAGTTCATGACATCTAGCTTGCTTTTCTAGTGAGCTGCTTCACAATGTAGGGAGAATCGCGCACAGTAACTGCACCAATCACATAATGCCTTGCATCTTTTTGAGTTTAAAGTAGGTTGAGAATAAATCTATTAAGGTCCTATTTTTTTCCAGGTTATATATAGCAGGGAAAAATGACACAGTTCACAAGTTACAGTCTATATACAGACAAACTTTCCCCACCATGTGCATGTCCAGGCAGACTTCATCTGAAAATACCCCAGTTCAGCAGAAAACAGCCAGTACAGCAGCTAGGAGGGGATGTTCCTGGAGCCCACTGGGTTTTGCAGCTGTAGAGGCTGACTCCTGGTCCCGGTGTGGCCATGCCACCCTGGGGAGTGCATTCCACAGGCAATTCCTTTCGGAGGTGGAGCTGCAGCTCCTTTGGGCCTCACTGCTCTGCACAGCCCTCCACTTTGAGTTTCTTTGTCCCCTTACTCTTCCTTGTTGTCCCTCAGATGAATGGTGGAGCCTACTTGCATAACCCAGAGCTGGGAGCAGAAACATGACAAAGCTTATGAACATGAAGTGCACCTGATGGTGATGCTTGGGTGCCTTTGGCTTTACGTCTGTTTCTCTTGCTGTGAGAGCAACTGCGTGTCAGTAACGTTCTTTATGGAGCAGGGGTATGTGGCAAAACAAGCCTGGGAAGGAAACTGGGGCTCCAGCAGGAGCCTGCTGACTTCACCCTGGCAGAGTGCTTTGGAACTAAGAACAGTGATGATCGTTTTGGTCTTTCATAATACTGCTAACTCTCACAATATTGAAACTTTCAGAAAAATTTCTGGGAGTATTAACAGAAAGGTGGGCTGTGTGCCCCTTTGCTGCATCTCAAATGATGAGAAGAAGTGGGAGGATATGCAGCATTTACCTTTTGGAGATTGTGCTCCGCACTGAAGGCTGCTACTTAACATGGCAGCCAGGGTTAATTCTCCTTTCCTTCTCCGTTGATGTGGGGTTTCCATTCATGGTGTGGTCTGTCTCATCCAGCATGTCCTGAGCATGAACACGTGGAAGCGTTGCTCTTCTCGTGTGCTTTGCTGTGAAGGGCTGTCAGGAACAAGAGGGCGGGCAGGAAGGTTGCAGGAGCAGGCCAGAGTGAAATTCTCAGTGGCTTCTCAGCTGTGACCAAAACAGAAGCTGCAAAAATGCAAAGCACAGTATGAGAACAGCCTCTGCCTGGCTTCTTTCAACTTGTGTATTCTGATGGCTGCTCTTGTTGCAGCTGCAGCCACCTTAATTCAGACACAGTGATATATATTTTTTTGTGTTGTAACTGAGTTAAAACTGAAGTCAAAAGCAATTTTATGTTAGAATTGATCAAGCTGGAGTGTATAAAGCAAACTTAAATACTAGTAAGATCAGTGCTTCCCTGAAGGCCAGATGTAAAAACAAATAATTCTAACTGTGAATGAGCCTGTGGGAAAGAGAGGGATGGAGGCAGGGCTTTTAAAGTGGATGGACACACAATTTGCAATGGCTGCTATAAATAAAACAAGAAATAGCAGTCATCTGTGTAATCCTGGCCAACTGTTTGCCTTGGCTCTGGAAGGTAGCCGCAGTTTCACAGGTACTGCTTCAGCATCCTGAGAGGAGAGGCAGCTGCTAACTGTTGGGGTAGTCTGTTGTGGAATAGGAATTTCCTTCCTTAGACTGCATTATTCCTTCTGATCTGCGCATTCCACAAAGCCAGAGTGCCAAATGCAAACCCGGAGCACACAAGCACGCTTCCACAAAGCAAACCCTGTGAGCCTTCATTGCTGAGTTACAAATGCTGAAAACTCCGACATGATGTTGGCAAATCTAAAAATTAAAAGTGAGCCATCCCCATTCTGTCCCTGCACCTCCCTCCTCCCACGTGCATTTTCCCTCGCTCGCTTTGCGCTGTCGCAGGCAGGCTGCAGCTGCTGCCGGCAGGCTGTGAGCTCACTGCAGCCCGGGTGGCTGCAGCCCTATGAATAGCTCAGCTGAAGCTGCTGTGCGTGAGGATGCAGAGAGCCACACAGGTTTAATGGCTCTGCAGCAACAACTGGATGTGTGTAATTTAAAATAGAAATATGCCCAGATCCTTTCTCTGAAGTTTAAGATTTTAAGGAGGTAGTATGTGTGGGCTGATATGTTGCTGTGATGGGAGGTCAGCAGCAGATACTTCAGCAGTGACAGACTTTCCTTTGAAAGGTAATAGCCCGTTACCTTTAGAATGGCCAAATGGTCTTCCAACAATAATAATTCCAGTGCAAACTTTACATCCAAATACCTCATTGTTAACTGTGAGTCACGCTTTGCAAGCCTCAAGTCTTCCCTAGAAAGGCAGGGAAGTACTGGTATCAGCAGGCGAAGAGTCACAGGACGAGGAATGTTGCTCAGAGTTTCCAAAAGCATCCACTGTGGCAAACCCAATGTTTAATTTTCAGAATGTCCAAAGGCCTGCTGCATTTCTGAAAATTGGGGCTGAGTTAACTTAAAATTAAATTAAAGGTTGTCTTTGAGAATGAAGACCAGTAATGTCATGGTCATATGAACAGTGAGTTAACAGCAGGCCAAAGTAAGGAACCCAAAGCAAACCAAGCATGAGAGGTTCTCCAAAACATCAGTTTATGGTATGTTAA